CCCCAAAACCCCAAAACCCCAAAACCCCTTATGTCTCGATAGGTATTGAAAATAAGATATAAATTTAACAGAATAACTTGTAATTAAATATTTAAAAAGCTAACTTACTTTTACTGAACAATGGGGTGTAAGACATCAAGATCCACCAGAAGTGTTAATGTAAGATGATAGGACTTTCTTAAACACCCTTTATTTATGCACAATCCTAGCCTATTTTTAATTTGATTTTTGTATTGGTGACCCTTTTATCTTAAGTAAAAACTAAAAGCATTGCTGTAGATCAAGACAAAACTTCTTTGCAGAAAGATCCAGCAGCTACTGGACACTGTCTATGATGATGAAACTCAAGAGCTCAAGTACAAAAATATTCATGAATTTTGGGAGAAGCTTAAAAATGACACAGTATTAAAGAAGAAAAAGAAAAATACTGAAGCTCGTCTTGCAGCTTTTTATTCATTCAGATTTGCAAACTCTGAGATGAAAATCAGCCACTTGCTAATAGTCCATTTGAAAGAGGAGCATATGATAGAGCTTATGAGGAAAGATAATGCCTTGCAGGACTCTATTAAAAATGATCTCGATTCTGAGGGGAATACGTGTGGACATATCGCTCTAATGTATAACAAACAGAAAGTCCTCTCCGAATTATTCAAACTCAGTCCAAATTTGGCAGTCATTGAGAATAAAAAAGGCCAGTGTATAACTGAAATGGGTGAAAGATTCAGAAGAACCTTCACGGATTCGAAGCTATTGGCCAGAATGGTAACCTTCCATTCCGATCACATGAGGCAGAGTCTGCTTTCAGAATCATTAGACTCCGATATCTTGACAGACAGTTTGGCAATTGATTAGAGTCTTGACCAAACACACTTTAGGGATTATTTTTAGGAATAACTACAATTACAAAATGGCTGTCTTTCTAGGTAATATCTGTGACATAATTCTTTACTTTTCTGGTCTTTTTGTTAAATGAATAATTTCTCCAATTCTTATTACTAAAAAACAAAAAATGTAAGACCTGTAATTCTGTAAATGCTTCGCTGAAAATCTGGTCTGGAGTCTACCTTCTAAGTTTAAACCTACCAGCATGAAATAAAATTCAATTTTCCTGTTGTGAATAGGGGTTTTGGGGTTTTGGGGTTTTGGGGTTTTGGGG